TTTCTCTTAGTGTACGAACGTGGCGCAAAAATGATTATCCAAACACCGTTGGCATAAAAAATCACGACATGATTTTTTGTGCCATCGGTCAATCGCAAACAGCGATGGCATAAAAAATCACGACATGATTTTCATTTCTCACGCAGTGACATCCGGATGATGTCCGTATGAATAAAATTTGTGAAAATCACGACGTGGCGTTCGTATGATTTTCATTTATTACGCGGTGAATTCCGTATGATATCAGTATGAATAAAATTTGTGAAAATCACGACGTGATGTTCGTATGAATATCACGAATGTTGTCCGGGTAGGTTTTAAATTCGCAGTTCGCAGGGCTCATACGCATGCGCAAATTTTGCAAATATCACACCGTGAGTTCTACATAATAACATTGTGATGAAGCATGTGTATGCACTCAGGATATCACAGCGTGATAAAAAAAAATCACGTTGTGATATCATCATGACTTCCCCAGGAAATCCCGATTGTTGTCCGGGTACTTTTAAAATATATTACTATTCTATGAAAGGGTAATAAGTAAAAAACTGACATAAAATCCAATAACAAAAAATGTTTGTATAAGTTCGCAGAAAACTACTTAAGGGCCATTCCACGCGTAACGGATAGGACAGTTGCCGTGTTTTTATTTACAAAATAATATTGTTCTATTATATTACCAATGTCAAATTTTTAAAAATAGTTCTAAACTAAAGCTGTTTAACAGGGTTTTTATTTGGCAAAATTAGGTATCGTGATTGACTGTTTAATTCCTTAAAAATTAATAATTTAAAGCGTAACGGACGGGACTATTACAAAGTCCCGTCCGTTACGCTTTAAATTATTAGTTTTTAAGGAATTAAACAGTCAACCACGATACCTAATTTTGCCAAATAAAAACCTTGTTAAACAGCTTTAGTTTAGAACTATTTATAAAAATTTGACATTGGTAATATAATAGAACAATATTATTTTGTAAATAAAAACACGGCAACTGTCCTATCCGTTAAGCGTGGAATGGCCCTTAACCTAAATTTAAAATGTCAGAAAATAAGGTTAAGATGTTAAGTCGTTCATGACGCCATATTAACTCTACTAAAGTAAAGCTTCATAAATCCACCCCAGGACCAGCTACCTCGAGCATGGAGTACACTCGAAAGGAGATATTTGATTTGATCAAGGACAAATTTTGTTTACGCAATAATGACTTGGTTTCAATTATACAACAAAATTTGTTTAATAAAACTGTCATTTCTGGGGAAATGTGTCCACGTGAATTGGTGAATTTAAAAGTAATAATCAGTCAATGTACCACAAAGTGGCTAGAGGCTAAAAGAATGTACTGTGGCGGACACGGAATTTCGAACATCAAATCTCTGTCATTTCAAAAAATGTCAGTGCAAACCACACTTTAATTGCGGACAAGGAATTTCGAACATTAAATTTCTGACATGAAATTGATTTTTGTCATTATTGACGTTTATAATTTTTTTTATTATTGACGTTTGTATTTTAAATTTGAAAGTGAATTTAAAGCGTCAACTTGACCACTGATATAGAAAATGCCAGCTGTATCTTACTTTAATAAAGTTAAAATGGGAACCCTTCTTCAGAGCGGCATGTCGTATGGACAAGTTTCGGTACATTTAGAGAATCATACATGCAATTATGCGTAAATGGACACTAACTGAATCAGTGGTCCAGGTTCTGGGGGTCGCCGAATATCTTCCGCTGAAGAAGACGAAGCGATCATAGATGTAATTAGGAATAATCCTTTCTCCAACCCCGTTCAAGCAGTCCGAATTACATATTTCCCGGGGTCAGTCAGAACTGCTTTTCGACGAATAAAGGCAAGTGGCTTGCATAATAATGCGGCAGCAAGAAAACCAAAATTAAGGCCTTGGCATAGGGAAGCAAGAATTGGTTTCGCATTATACAACACCTAGCAGAAGATGATGCATTTTGGAGTCGGGTAATTTTCTCCGACGAAAAAACTTTTCAAATGGCCGGATCAGGGTATATAGGCCCCACAATACACGCTACAATGAACGATATGTTGATGCAGTCAAAAGTAGCGGACGCTTCTCTGTCAACATTTGGAGCTGGATTTCGGCGGAGAGTCCTGGGATAATACTGCTCGTAGAGAGACTAACAAGTGACGTTTACTTCAAAACGTGATGCTACCTTCTGTGGAACTGCATTATCCGGCTTATATAATAATAATAATAATTTTGTTTTTCAACAAGATAACTGCTCGGTTCACACAGCACGGAGGGTAGCAGCATGGTTTCAAAATAATAATATAAACGTCCTTGATTGGCCTAGTCACAGTCCGGATTTAAATCCGATAGAGAATATGTGGGGATTAATGACAAAACGTTTAAAGGAGCGACGGATAGAAGTTCAAAATAGGGAAGAACTTGTCGTTGAAATAACTGAAGCCTGGCAAGGGTTGCCATTGGATTACCACCGAAATCTATGTCTCTCCATGCCGACTAGATTGGCACAAGTTATTCAATCGAATGGAACAATGACCAAATATTAGTTTACTAATTTTTGTTTAGTTTAATTTAAATATTACAAAATTTAATTAAATTGTATATTAAATTATTTTAATTCGGTTGTCTTTGTGTCATTCTATAAATGGCAGAGATCATTAAATAAAATTTTGCTTTCGCTGTCAAGATGACGCGTCATGACTGTCCGGAAGTAAGGTTAGTTGTCATAAAGGCAGATTTAGATTTTGATGTCAAATAAATTATAATATAATATATATTAATATATATATATATATATATTAATATATATTATAAGTCGTTCAAAATTCCGTGTCCCCCACTGTACGACAGATTTTGTAATACTAATGAAGACTGGTTAAAAAAAACACTAACTTTTACGGTAAGATTACAATACTAATTATTTTAAAAATAAGCACTTACATAACATTATTTATTTTGCAGATTTATCCAATAAGCTCGGGTAAGCGGCCTGTATCTTTATCTGTATCGGACTCAGGCACACCAGGTACATCAGGTCGGCCTAGCACTTCATTTGAAGAAGGAAGTGAGAGAACAAAAAAAAGTAAATCGGAAGCACTGCCTTTAACCCATAGCACCACGGAGTTGGCCCATGCAACCCAATTAGGATTACTAAAATCAGGTGCTATTGAAGCATCACATGTCGTGAAGGATGTAACCACGAAATCACCATCACAAGCGATAAAGTTCATATCGGCTATAAAGGTATCAACCATTCCACGTCCTGTTGAAATTCGTCCTGAAGTGGCATTGTCGTCTATTCTGGAATCTAAATTAACTGTAGCGGCATATTTAAATCAAAGAAAACTTTCGATACAGCACAATGCCCCCATCGTATCACAAAGTTTTAGACACCAAAAAGAGAGTTACCCTTCAGGAATAGGAGTAACCGAGACCAGTGCAGAGGTGAAATTACAAGAACTTTTAGACCATACGTCTGAAAGAATTTTACTAGCACAAGAGGTACTAATTGACTCGTTAGATAAAGAAAATGTTGCTGAACTTACATTAATTGTAAAATGGGGTTGCAATGGAAGTTCGGGACAAAGTGAATATAAACAACGCTTTAGTGACGATAGTGCTTCTGACGCGAGTATTTTTCTTATATCGATAATGCCATTGAGAGTTGTTTCTGCGAAAAGTGAAGTTCTAGTATGAAAAAATCCGCGACCTTCGTCTGCTCGTTACTGCAGACCTATAAAGATAAAATTTGCAGAGACTAGGAAGATGACTTGCGCCGAAAAACAACTTATTGACGAGCAAATTAATTGTCTTGTTCCGTAAAAGACATGGATAGCTGGTAAACCTATCACAGTAGAATACAAAATGGTCTTCACCATGATAGATGGTAAAGTATGCAATTCTGTGTCAGGGACAACCTCGGCAATGAGGTGCTATTTGTGCGGAGCCACCTACAACTACAACTAATGCGTGTAAGAGAAATCGACAATTCATATTTGTGTTTTGGCATTTCATCCTTGCATGCCTGGATTCGCTTTTTTGAATGTTGTCTACATATAGGTTATAAGTTGGACATTAAGCAGTGGCAAGCCCGAGGAACGGAAACTAAAGAGATAATTGCACAAAAGAAAAATTCCATTCAGGATGGTTTTAAGACCAAATTATCTCTAAAAGTTGAGGTTCCAAAGCAGGGATGCGGAAGCTCAAACGACGGAAATACAGCCAGGCGTTTTTTTTAAGCTGCGGATATTTCTGCTCAAATTCTGGGTGTCGATGTTGAATTGATTAGACGGTTCCATGTCATCTTACACGGCTTCTCCGTTGACGTACCAGCTTTTAAAAGTTACTCTATAACGACAGCAGAATTTTTTGTGAAGAAATATCCGTGGTTTCCCATGCCGACAACTGCGCATAAAATACTTATTCATGGACCTCAAATAATGGATGCGATTGAGCTTCCTATTGGGGAATTATCAGAAGAAGCACAGGAAGCTAGAAATAAGGATTTTACGAAATATCGAGAGAACTTCTCTCGAAAAGTTTCTAGGGAGAAAACGATGGAAGATGTTTTCCATTTGCTTATGGCATCTTCCTATCCATATATTTCTAGCTTCAGAAAAATTGCTCCAAAAAAGAGCAAATCTTTGTCCCGCGAAGCAATAAAACTGTTGCTATCTTCTGATGGTTTCCCTTGCTCTGCTAATGATACAACGAGCGAATCCAGTGACGGAGATTGTTTCATATATGTGTAGGTATTAAATAATACCATATAAATGTAATTATAATAAACTAAATTAAGCTATTTTATAAAAAGATGTTTTATTTACATTTTAATCTGCACTCAACAAGAAGAAGAAGACTAACCCTATAGTTTGTTAACCAATTACTTATCGAATAAAAGTGATTTATTGTATATTTTAAATAGTTTTCTGGTCAATTCCAGTAAAAGTAAACAGTTTTACAACTAAGAAGTATAAAAACCTTACAAACTTTTAACTTCAAATGGCAATTATGAAGACTGGGAAAAAGACCGCCAAACCAAAGAAGCTCTGTCTGGTTTGTGCGAGAGTGCTTAATAAAACCCAATTAAGAATCCAATGTGTAGAATGCAAAGAATGGGTGCACGAAACATGCACAGAACTAGCTAAGAAAGCTACAACCACCAAAGGAAAAGGCGCAAACTGGTCCTGTCCAAGATGCAAAGAGGCACCTCTAAATGAGGAACCACAAGGAGATGAGTCTGAATCTGGATCAGAACCTGAATCAGGGGCTGAAGAAGAGTCATCAAACCAGTCAAGGTAAAAAAAAAGTATACATTGAATGATGTTATGGATAAGTTAGATAAAATGGAAACAAAATATGAAAATATTCTCAGGAAAATGAATGATTTAGAGCAAGAAAATAAAAGGCTCAAGAAAGATATAAAAGAACTAAAAGTAATGCAGTCGCAACTACAAAAGCAGAGTGAACACAATAACCATGAAATAAATAAAACAAAACAAGCAAAACTAGAAAAAAATTTAATAATAGTGGGTATGAAAAAAAGTGATGATAATGACTATAAGAAGCTGGTGAAAAGGCTTGGTGATGTCTGCAATGTAAAAATTGGAGATGGGGAAATTGAGTATGTGCAAAAGTTAGAAAAAAATGATGAAAAACCAATAGTTAAAGTAGCCCTTACCTCAATAGAGGCCAAAGAGAAGCTGCTTACAGCATACAAATCTAAAAAAGGTCTAAAGCAAGAAGAAATTGGGCAGCAGGGAAGTGATTACATATACATTAATCATGATATGACTCTTGAAAACCAATCTCTATTTAAAAAAGCAAGAAGTCTTAAAAAAGAAATAGACATTAAATATGTATGGTTTAGCCAAGGTAAAGTATTGGTAAGGAAAGACGAAAATAGTAAAATCCTACAAATTGATTCAGAAGAAACGCTAAACAAAATTAAGGAAAAAAACTTAAGACAGAACTAAACAATAGAAAAATATCAATACTATATCTTAATATCCGTAGTATTCGTAATAAAATTGAAGACATAGAACTCTTATTGCAACAGCATAAGCCAGACTTTTTATTTCCTTCTGAGACATGGCTCTATGAGGATGAGGCCCAACATTTAAAATTTAAAGGCTATAATGGCCTTCACTCAGCTAGAGAAGTAGCCAAAAGCCCTCGTGGAGCTTCCATCTATGCTAAAAATTGGTACGATATAGACCTAGTTTATAATGATTGCAAAAATAATAATATTCTTATAGTTAAAATTAATAACTTTAATTTTAAAATAGGAGTTGTCTATAAAAGACACAAATCTAAAACTGAATTTTTTTTACAACAACTAGATAAAATATTTAATGAAAATAAAAATCTTCTAATGATGGGCGATTTTAATATAAATCTTTTGCAAAAAAAATCCAACTCTTATAGATACAAAGACAAAATATAATATATGCAGCTACTTCGTGAAAATGGAATTAAAATTATAAATAAAATATCTGAAAAACATGCCACACGAATAGATATAATAAAAGGAACAAGAACAGTAATCGATCATGTTATTACTGACTTACCTCTATCAGTGCCTCTAAAATTAACTGATCAGGAATATTCAGATCATAAAATGATATCTTTTATTTTTGATGCAAAAATCATCTGTCCAGTAAAAGAAAAACAGTCATATAAATCCAAAATAGTAAACTATCAAAAATTAAGTGAAAGTATGGCCGACTACACTCAATCTGCAGAAATAAATAATCTGAAAGAACTTATTAAGGTACTTAATGATAAAATAGATAATAATACAACAACAAAAACAAGGACTTTTACCAAAACAATCAAAGAAGGCTGGTACACAGATAAAGTGAGAGAAAAGATAAAAGAGAGGGATAAATGGTATATAAAAAGTAAGAAATTTCCAAGAAACGAAGAATTTACACGAGAATTCAAAAAACTGCAACAAGAAGTAAAAAAACTTATAAAACAAAACAAAAAAAAACACACAGAGAAGAGGTTTAAAAATGCGGATGGGATACCGAAAAAACAATGGGATATAATTAAAGATATGGTAGGAAAAAACAATAATACAACAGAGTGCTTGAAAATAACAGTAAATAACCGAGATATCACTGACCAAGAACAAATTGCCAATGAAGCAAACAAGCATTTTATAAATATTGTAGAAAATATTATTAAACCTGCAAAAAATAAAAAATGTACATTAAAACATAATTCTGACCAGTCACTTTATCTACAGTACACAACAGAGAAAGAAATAAAATCAATAATAAAAAACTTAAAGACGAATTCTAGTCCTGGGCATGATGGAATAAAAACTATCACTGTTAAAAAGTTAGGAAACATCTTAGCACCAGAAATATCAAAAATCATAAATATTCACATTAAAGAAGGAACGTTTCCCGACATACTAAAAATTGCACGAGTTATACCAGTTTACAAAAAAGGAAGCAAAACCGAACTAGGAAACTATAGGCCGATATCTGTCCTTTCAGTCTTCTCAAGAATTTTTGAAACAGTATTGCATAAGAGACTACTATATTACTTGGAAAAAATTGAATTTCTGAGTACTCAACAAAACGGTTTCCAAAAGAAAAGAAGCACCCAAACCGCAATCCTTAACCTAACCGAATTTATATATAAAAACCTAGATAAGAAGAGAGTAGTAATCGCTGTGTTTCTCGACTTATGTAAGGCCTTTGATGTTGTTGACCCGGAAATTCTACTGATAAAACTCAAGTCCCTTGGAATTGGTGATAGAGCGCTCAAAATATTTACCAGTTATTTTACTAACCGCATGCAGTACACAATTGTTGGAGAAAAGAAAAGTGACTTGAATAAAATTCGATATGGAGTTCCGCAAGGTTCGGTACTGGGGCCTCTACTTTTTCTAGTATATATAAATGATCTGACTGAATGTAATATAAAAGGAAATATGGTGCTCTTTGCTGATGACACAGGTCTTTTCTACTCGGGAAGTGAACATGAAGTGTTCGAAAAAGCGCAAAGTGACTTATTTACTATAAGTGATTGGACCAAAGACAATAACATAAAACTTAATGAAAACAAATGTAACTATCTAGTCTTTAAAAAAACATCTAAATGTGATAATCATGTCTTAGTTTTAAACAATACAGAACTTGAACAAGTACAAAATGCAAAGTATCTAGGCTTAACTCTAGACAGCCTCTTAAATATAAGTGACCAAACAAACTTAAAACCAGAATATCAACAATATGTCATTATCTCCGTAGAAACTCCAAGTTATTAAATAACAAAACAAAACATATGGTATATAATGCGTATACTAACTCTCACTTACTGTATCTACCTGCTTTCTGGGGCCAGGCAAGAAAAAAGGACATAAAAACCCTTCAAACTACACAAAATAAAATTCTAAAACTTCTATTTAACAAATCACCCAGAACATGTACAAAAGAGCTTTATAATGAACTACAAATTTTAAACGTAAGTGAATTAATTAAAATGGACAGTGTCAAAATAATATATAAAATTAAAAATGGTCTGATTTGTACTGATGTAGAATTAACTAGAAATTGTGATATTCACGAATATTTTACAAGAAATAACTCGCAGTATTATATAGCAAATACAACTACAAGTTTTGGCAAAAGAAGAATAACCCAAACTGCCTTGAATTGGTTTAATGAACTTCCGGAACATATTAAGTTGCAACAAAACCTAAAAGCTTTTTCTTCACATGTTAAGGACTATTATATGAAATTAAGAAAGTGATTTGACTCATTTGTAAAATTATATAAACAGATGTTATACTCATAGTTTTGTTATATTTATATTTCTACTCATATTTTCTGTGATGTTAACTTAGGAATATTTACTCATAAATTTAGTTTGTTTATAGTTTTTCTGTGATATATAAGTACCTGATATGGAATCTTGTATTCTTTTAAGGTTAATAAATAAATAAAAAAAAAGAACCTCTTACGGGTTTTTAATTAATTTCGACAATTTTGAGGTCCACCATTTTGAATTTTGGAATTCTAATTCCAGATTCTTTATCAGCCACCACAAAAACCCGTGTATGGTGATTTTCAATTTATTCCGTCAATTTTTTTACAAATATGTCCGCCATTTTGGATCTATCATTTTGAATTTTGGAATTCTGATTCCATATTCATTACCAGCGACCACAAAAACCCCTGTGTGGTGATTTTCAATTTATTCCGTCAATTTTTTGACAAATATGTCCGCCATTTTGGATCTACCATTTTGAATTTTGGAATTCTGATTCCATATTCATTACCAGCGACCACAAAAACCCCTGTGTGGTGATTTTCAATTTATTCCGTCAATTTTTTGACAAATATGTCCGCCATTTTGGATCTACCATTTTGAATTTTGGAATTCTGATTCCATATTTATTACCAGCGACCACAAAACCCCTTGTGTGGTGATTTTCAATTTATTCCGTCAATTTTTTGACAAATATGTCCGCCATTTTGGATCTACCATTTTGAATTTTGGAATTCTGATTCTATATTCATTACCAGCGACCACAAAAATCCCTGTGTGGTGATTTTCAATTTATCCCGTCAATTTTTTGACAAATATGTCCGCCATTTTGGATCTACCATTTTGAATTTTGACATTCTGATTCCAGATTTGTTATCAGCGACCCCAAAAACCTCTATATACTGATTTTTAGGGGAATCCGATTACTTCTTGATATTTTGCCGAAAATTTCGAGAATTGAAACCATGGAGCCTACACAAGGAGCCCGAACTTAATAGGGAAAATTGACAAAACCTGCCCTCTAAATTGCACAAATCTTTTTTTTCACCACCTGCGGCGCTGATTGTTGATGCGTCCTGACGTCTGCTCTTTTGGTAGCGTTTCGGTACAAATTAGTCAATTGTTTCAGAATAAACGGGACACCAGCGCCTACTTTCTTTAGGAAGATTCTTGTTTACACGCAGTTCGGACTCCTTGTGTAGGCTCCATGATTGAAACACTGTGCGTCGCCCAGATGTCATTCCAGCGAAGTCAAAAAGTAAGATTTTATCTGATTGTTTTGAATAGATACTAATAGCTTAAATTTCAGCTCGACGATTATTTTTTATGTTATCACAACCTTTGTTCCACCAGAAATTACCAATAACATCCCAGAAAAAGGCGAATCTAGAAAAATTTGTGTAAGACAAATGTAAACCCTATTAAATATCATGAAGAATATTTATATATAAAATCGAAAGCAACTGTCAGAGATGTGTTACCAGAAACCGACCAAGAAGATGATTCCAAATGTGAAGAACAGTAATCAAAATAGTTTTATAAATATAAGTTACATCTAAGTTGTAACTGTTTTCCTTATTTCTTTTTTGTATTAGCATCATACTTTGTTTTTTTTTAGCAGATTAATTTAAACAGTAATAATATTTTTTTCAAATAAAAATATTTATATTTAAGCAGTAGCTTATTTTGTTTTTATAGCAGGTTGTTAAACTTAATTTAAAAAAAACTAAAATCAAATCAAAAATAAACCGTATTGGGTTAACACTGTTAAGGGTAATTAAAAATACTATTATAACGTTATAATATAATAATATTAACGTTTACCCAAGCAATACCGGCAAAGTCTTTAATTTACGATATTTTCTGTGTAAAATTAAATTCAAGCAAAGTATCGCAAGTCTCTAAACATCATAAAATCTTACTTATAGGTAAAAAGCATCAATATTTTTGAAATCAGAATACCAAACATACCTTAGAAACAACCTCAGGACAACCGCCGACGGTGGTCTAGTGGTTAGTGCTGCTGACTACAAGCCGGAGGTCGTGGGTTCGAATCCCACCAGGGATATGGCTGTTTATTTGTGTTTGTCCTATTGTGTATTAGTCCTTCGGAGGGGACTTTAAGCCCGCGGTCCGTTCCTACCCCTAACCCGCACAAGCCATTCAGTTGGCTTATGGGACTTATTAAGAAGTATGGGTGGAACTAGAGATGTAAAAAAACGGTTTTTTTTCAGATGTGAAAAAAAACATGAAAAAAAAACCTAGAAAAAAAAAACGGCTTTTTTTGTTTTTTTTTTTAAATGAAATTTTGAGTAAAATATATATTGATAATAAATTGAAATGTAGAATATATTAAATTTTTCATTATTGAAAATTTTGACCGAGACTAAAAAATCTGATTTCTTATTATTTGTTAGTTTCCACATTAGAAACCAGTACCTAGCAATGTAAAACTTCTACACCAATACAAAAAATTAAAGGATAAAAAAAATTGTTTTGCGATTCTTCGGATAGCTGTATATTTGTTAAAAATGGTCGTATTGGAGCCGTAAAAAAAGCAATTTGAAGCTTGAAGTTTCTAGTTTTGAGATTTTTAAATGCAAAATGTGCAACGCTCAATCCTAACAATTGTATTTAAATACCGTAATAAAATAAATCGATTTTTTTTGTCTTTCTGGTCCACGGAATGTTTTGACTTAACCACCAATGAATAAATGTTCTACAAGAATTTGCTATTTTTTTTTTTTTTAAATTCCATACTATACATGAATTTGAAAAATCATGAAAAAAGTGCTTTAGGTAGCTTTTTGAAAAATCAAGCGCTGAATCAAAAATATTATATGTAGTTACTTTTTTTAGGACCAAATCAAAACAAGCGCGGCCCTTATTGGTCAATTCGGCGCGTGCATAGCGCGAGACTATTTACATTTACTAATTGTCATTTAGTGGCTAATTTTAGTCCATGAAGCCTAAAAAATTATGCAAATGGGACTAATCTTGAAAAAAAACCTAAAATGTGAAAAAAAACCATTTGAAAAAAAACAATGAAAAAAAAACCTAAAAAAAAACAAAAAAACGGACCGTTTTTTTTCAAGTGGCATCTCTAGGTGAAACTAAAAGAGCACTTTTGTATACAAAAATTTACTAGACGATAGTTTAAAACTGACTTTAAAACAAAAAATGTTAAAATTTTCGATATTGAAGTTTGCTTGCGATACTTTGGCCGAATGTCATCGATATGTTAAATGTGCAATGTGTAAGTTCTTTTTATTTTTTGTTATTATTTTAGTTATTTCTGGTTAAAGTGGCAGAACAGTGCAAACTGAACTTTTGTATTTATAATTTATGTATTATTTATGCAATAAAGATATTTATTATTATTATTATTTTGTGTTGTTATAAGGCTTATAAAACAGGAATGTTTACAATATAGGTGAGCAACAATACAATAAAACAGTTAATTGAGACATACGTTTGGTTTGTGTAAATACAGATCCCTTGTATATCCCAAGGTATAATAACTATAAGAATTCTTTGCAATGCATAGGCATGATGTGTTCGACAGTTGAACTCATAAAACAAATATGGTTTATTTCCGAGATGCTTTCATTGTGTTTGATGGTACGTACAGTGTTGCCGGATGAATGTCATCAAAGTTCCTGACTAAAAATTACAAAAAACTAGTTATATTTTAAATTTACTAGCGCATTCGCCCTGTTTTAAAAAATAAAATAAATTAATTTAAATTTTTTATATTAGTCAATAAAAATGTAACAGGATAAAATAAAATAATTGTGCATATTTAGTAAATATACAATATTATTTACTGAAAATTTCTTTGGTTATTATTTTGATCGAAATTTGCAAATTACCCAAATTTACACGCTTCAAAATTCTACCTGCAAACATGACGAAAATACCCAATTTTCGAATAAAATACTTGCAAACGGCAACACTGGGTGGGACTAACAGAAGAAAGATGAAATCACATGACGGTCATCTGTGATCTAATTGGTCAGCTGAGAAAATCGATATTGCATCTAGAACACATATGTTATGTTGTTTTTGGAACAATTGTTTTAAACAATGGTTATATGAATATTTGCGCATTTAAAAAGAAGTTATTAAAATAAAACGAAAGCAAGTCAAGCGCATCGTATCTAAAAAATTATAATCGTTATAATTATTACACCTTACATATGTCCTTATATAGTATAATAGTATATAATTAATTATGCAATAAACTTGGCTTCTAACAACACAGCCAAAATGTTAATAAACACTTTTCTTTGTGTTTTATATTACAATAACCAAAAACAACATCTCTGAATAATTCCGGATATTATTTTTTATCGCTATAGGTACCTACCATTTCTCTACTAAAAGTCTTATTAACTCTTCCAGAAAACTCCCAAATCTTTCTATTAGTCTGAGTTACTAAGACTTTATCAGACATTCAGTCTTATTCTGAGTTTTTAAGAGAAAGTAAGACTTTCATAACTTTTTCAGAGGAAAATTTCCACAAGGGTTTTTTATATTTTATTTTACATGTATTAATCCGACTGTATTATTAACTTAATATATTATTTTTAGCAATAAGGACAAAAAATCACAATGGTATCACAAATGCAGTGTTAAAAATCTTAAAGAAGAGATACATGATGAACATAAACAAAAAAGACGAAATAGCATGGGTCCAAAAACACTATTAGAAAGAAGATGGTCTCAAGTGAGTCAAGTAGCTAATTTTAGAAAAAAAAAAAGAAACTCACTGCAACCGAACATTTTAAATGAAGAAAACGAAATTACATTAGCAAAATTACCTGAAGAACCTATTTATATGAGAGTTTCTAAAGTTGAATATGAGGAAATTAAAAATAGAGTTTCGAAAATTGAAAGAAGGATTTCATTTGAATTAGATCATGTTGGTTTTCAACATAGAAATATTAATAGCATAGATAATAAAAAGATAGAAGCTGTTAAAAATATAGAAAAAGTTATCACAGCCTATGAACATACATTAGAACAAAATGAACCAATGAGCCCCACCACAGACCATTTAGCTAGACGGTTAAGTAAAGAATTAAAAATTAGGAGAAGTTCTCAGGAAAAAATTATACGATCTCCTAGTGCGAGAAAAATTGGATCCTTAAGACGTAGATCAAAAGAAATTGAAAAGCGACAGTTAAAAAGACATCAGTCATGGCATGTTACTTGTCAAAACAACTCAAAACCACACTTTAATGAGTTTGACGACACGCCCAAACAAAAAAATACAGTACACAGACCTGTTACAAGGTCAACTTCATTTCAATATAATGTTCAAACCCCAACCAATTCACAAAATGCAAGTTTAAAATCCAAAAATAGTACTCATTGGATAAATGCAAACTGTTTTTTTTCGGATACTCCTAATCATACTAAAATTAATCACAATAAAAATACTCCTGATAATAGAAGAGCATCAATAGCAAAGTTAAGGACTCAAAATGCAGGAATGGTTTTAGCCAAGGCCAAGTTATTTGATAATATTCAGGATTCAAATTTAAGCGCTTCTACAAAATTTAAGAATCATGAAAATGTATCCACCCAATCAAATAAAATTGGATCTAGGCTTTCAAGTGAATCCAAACGAGTAAAGGTGTTAAAATTAGAAGAAAGCAGAGTAAAGAAAACATCCCCCAGAAGAAGAACTGCCAACATAGCTAGAAGAGAAGACAACATTGTTATAACTCCTATTAATCATACAAGATATTTAAATTCGCCAAAGTGTGCAAGAGGTGTACCAAATATAAAGAAAAATTTAAATATACGTTCCCCAAAACGATTGTGTAGAACTCCTGTAAACTTAGATAAGAAAACCCCTTTAAAGGTTTTAGTTTCAAGGATCAATAACTAACTTAAATCTATATTTTTATTGCTCAAACTTGTTAATTTTAAACAACATTTGTAAATATGTATTTAAAAATACGGTTTTATTGTGAATAATTTACAATTAAATAAATGCAAAATGTTTTAATTAGAAAATTTTATTTACTACCAGGAAAAAATCCTAGTGTATTTTTATTTTTTTAGGTGGACAATTTATTTTTATATTTTCAACCCTTCAACTCCGTTTATTGAATAAATCTGCTGCCTGATTTCCGCATTCACTAATATAGTTACTATTAAAAAAAAGGTGATTATATTATCTTTTTTTACCATTGTTGAATTAAACTGAACTAATTTTGTGTACTAATGATACTGATGAAGGCTTTTATTATGTTTCAACAGTTTATCTACATGATTATTTCTCGAATTTCTTATCTATACTTATTTGAACAAGAAACAAAGTGAACTGTTGCAAGTTGCAACTTCAATTTTAAATATCTCGAAATGATTTTTTTTGTTCATGATATTTAGGGAAGCAAGACCTTTCAAATGAGGTATTTGCTCTATAATGCCATTTATAATTTAAGGGGTGAAACGATATGTAAAAGCTATTGCAACAGATGTCCCCTCAAAACTAAAACCAAAAAACTGTTTTGTTTTTGTTGGGCCACAAAGGTTTGTACTTTGATTTTGCATTTATAAAAGAAATGATGCTCAAATAGTGCATTATATATAATATTTATTTATAAAGTTTCTATTGGCTGCTAACAAGGGCTACGGCTTTAGGGAAGTTGTGTGTTTTGAGTATAGGACATGGTTTTTGTGTCCATCGGACCAGACCACAGTCCATTACTACTTAATTTTTTTTGTCGATAAACAACAAAATAATAAAACTACAGAATTACAATCCATTTTCACAACGTTGCAAACGTGTTAATTATGTTAATTAAAAAACAAAACAGGTAATAGTACATTATAGTCTATAATTTATATATAGTAAATTTAAAAGGAAACGACGTACACGTCATCGATGACGTCATAATTTTGCGCACTGGTACCAATACTAAATGTATAAAACGAAGTCTGTAATTGAATATTTTAATGCATTTTACACAACTTTAGTTGGCAGCAGTTGCAATGTTGTCATGTTTAGATTAAAATTTTGCTTAATAAAATGACGCATAGAAAAAGAAATTGACCTTTTAGAATTTCGAAGCTGTTGTGTTTTTGAATATTTCGTTTAATTCGTGTATAATTTCGTTTATTTTGTTTGTTGTTTGTGTTATTTTATATCGTTTAAGTTTTCATTGCCATTTTTATGTTTGTTATACGCTAAAGAAGTATCTCTAGTAGCGCCACCACTCGGCTGTTATCATCGTAAAAAAAAGTACTTTTGATAATCAGCTATCAAACGCGTGTGTTACAAACAAGTGTTTTTGAGAATAAAGCCGGAAAATGTAAAAAATATCGAAAAAAAAACGTGGCACGATTTGTTGTGTTGGGTGTATTTCGAAAGGAAATCCTGGGTTGAGTTTTTATCGGTTTTCCAATAAACAGTGTTAATCTGAATAAATAAATAAATTTCATACAGTCCCTGTAAATATAAATTGTATCTATTAGATGCAATAAATACACATTTTAGTAATGATTAACGTGAAAAGTGTAAACATTTCAATTCAGTAAAAATCGTCTAAATTCAAACAGCATTTAGCATTATTAAAAGCGTTGATTAAGAATTATTTAAAGTCTCCACTCAACGGTAAAATACCATTATATTATGTTGCCATGAATTCGTATGTTATTTTGTTGTTTAAAATGCAGTTGTCGGCGTTTTTAGAGAACTCAAATTTAAAAATCGTTGATTTAAAGGTTATGTTTGAGCAAAAATTATTTTTAACTAATTTCCTAAAAATGTCCAAACTTAAATAAAAATTATATTAGGTAAAGTTATCATTAGTTAATTCTGCACCAACAAATGTACTTACCGAATTGGATCCTTTGGCAAAACATGAAAATGCAACGATTTAGTTAACCAGTTTTATTTACAATTAAAAACACAATAATTTACCATGATCCCTTAGATAAAATACACACACTAACGCAACTATATAAGCATTTAAGCGTTGAGTTTCTTAATCAATGATATAAAGAATAACACTGTAGGTAAATTGTCAACTCTTGAAATATCACAGCTAAACGATCGGACACGTAAACATACGTAAACATAATTTTTGGTCGTAGATTCCAAATCCGTGCTCGGTTTAGCTGTATCAGGTCTAAAAAAGATTTTCCTTTGGGAAATCCGATCCGGGGACACACTGTATACTGGTATATTATAATGTGTAAAATAATTTATTTTACCTATTGTGCCAACATTCGTAGCTAGCCTCAAGGGGGCCCCTTATCAAAAATCTGGTAGGGGCCCTTATACGGGAACAGCTGCTGCCAAAAAATTTCTGGGTTCCACGCCCAAAGTCTATTTTGGACAAACAATAATTATTTTTTTGCATTTACCAATTTTTTATAATTTAGTACATAATATATGTATACATAGCTTTTTATGTACAGGAAAGTTTCTTCAACATATTTTAAAAGGTTTCTATTTTAAAATAAAGGCAATTTGAAATAATTGTAACGCTAATAATTATTTCTAATTTGCTATTAATATAACCTATGATAATAACTCGCAAAGCAGACTCAGTATGCGGCGCAGAGCACAGAACAATATGCGCTGACTGCGCCGCAGACAACGCATAGCGGAAAGGTGCGGGCAGAAACAATTCGTATGAGTTCACGGCCTCGTTGGAACAGGAGGGTATTCAGGAAAATTTTAATTTAATAAATCGAAGTACAAACAATTAAATAATAATATTTATTTATTTAATTTCATGCCTCAATTTTTTTAACATGTGGGTAATATTTTTTTTTGCTTACGCATGTCGAAGTCAATCGCCCCCCCCTAGCCGGGGGGATTTAGGGATAGGCATTATAGGCTGCAGCCCAGGGCCCCGTCTGATCAAGGGCCCCCTACGCGATGCAAATAAAAAAAATATTTAAATCAGACTGAAAATCGTCTATAGAATAAAATATTGAGCCTGTTAAAATTTTAGTTATTATTATTATTAAGAGGCCCCTCATCTCGATTTTCTATTTTTCATTTAAATGGCATGGAAAATTTTTTGGAATTATCCATCCCCAGATAACAATTATGAAATCATTTACGACATCAACGTGAAATCATTGCTGATTCATTCAGTGATGTAACTAAGGCACGCATATGTGTTCCCCTTTTGATGAGCAACATGATATCCTTAATGAGTCACACGATGAATTCGTTGTGACACCAACGTGAAATCATTGCTGATTCATTCAGTGATGTCATCATAAGTGTTGCACTTTTGATGAGCAACGTGAGATCCTTAATGAGTCACACGATGAATTCATTATAAATTCAAAGGGATGTCATTAATGATTTTACTTAATTGTAGATTTTGCAAAATTAAAAATTGTTAAATATTTTTTTTGAAAGTCTAATATGAAGAGCTTGTAAGGAGAAACCAAAAAGCCAAATAAAGTTTTTTCATGTGAGTTGTTGTTATTTGTTATTAAAAATAAAATCAATTCAGGTCTTTACTCGAGTGGTCCTATTATTTTTTAGAAATTGACTTCTATCTCATTTTGTGATTATGACTCAATGTTGTTGCTTTTAACTGACATGTCTACAATGTCTACAATTATTTGTTAAAATTTGAAAACTAATATCTTTAATTTTCAATATCAAATATCTTAGTATCAAAAACTCATATGAAAAAACTTCATTTGACTTTTTGATTTCTCTTTACCATCTCTTTATTTTAGCGCTTCAAAAAAAATATTTAAAAATTTTGAAAGTCAGTATTTTTGCTCACCTTGTACAACAAAATGGATGTTTCTCAACCCGAATTGAATTTATACAAGGTGTCCCTAAACTTAGTGGCATAAATTTAGGAGCAGATTAAGCAAGTCAATATAAGACGAAAATCTAAATAAATATTTTTCCTAATTACCTATGTTTAAAATATACAGGGTGATGAAGTGTTACTTAATTATCATATATAATTATCATATCAGTTTTTTTAATATAACTTCTACTATGGTAGACTTGGAAAGGTGATATTTTGCGAACAGTCACTTACTACCAAAACACATATTCACACATAATTACAATTGTTCAAGTGAACACAGTGTCGCAGAAACAGGGGTTGCTTAAGCTTATTTTCCCATACAAACTTTAGGGTTAGGTTTTTATACCATTTGATGCAATTTTTCTATTACTCAGTTCGGCTACTATTAAAAAGGTGTACCTCTCAAACTTCGATAAAATAAACCGTTTCCGAGATATTCGAGATTACAATAATTGTTATATCGCATTAACCCTTAAGTACTAACGTGACGTCTACGAGACGGAAGTAAAGAGACTGGGTCATCTAAACCAAGCTCAGCCTTGTTATTCAAGGTTGACCATTTATCTACTTTTAAATAAGCCGGTTTTCAGTCAGTGTACCAAATTTGGCGAGGGTGTTAGGTTCTGCTCAACTTTTATTTGGTAAAATATATCGATCGCCGTCTAGGAGACGTCACATTAGTAGTTGCGTTACGGTTGGTTGCGATATTCTGGGACTCAAGGTAGAAGATAATTTACCAGAAATGAGAATTGAATGTTTAGCAAAAAGAAAAACTTGCTATACTTTCCCCTCTAAGAAAAAAAAGACAAACTGCTTATGTTTGTTATACTTGTCAAAATCCTATTTGTTTAGAATGCAGCAAGAAAATATGTATCGAATGTGCTCAGTCTATGTAGTTTTACCCTATTGTATTTTTTTATTTGTCCGGGTTTTTTTTGTATTTTTATGTTTTTTTGTGATTTACCTACCCATGTTAAGTTATTAGAACAATTTTTTTTTACGTTTACTAAATATAATGAAAAAAATTAATCCTAAGTTAATGTGTTAAAAAATTATATATTTTTTAAGATTTAAGAATAAATGT